TGTGTGTGTGTGTGTGTGGCCAGCTCAGCCCACCAGGGGGCGGGGCTGGCTGGCATGTGGTGCTGGGGGATTGAACTGCGGTCCCTGTGCCTTGCCAAACTTGTTCTAAGTAGGTGCTTTAGACCACTGAGCCATCTCTCCAGCCCCACCACTTTCAGTTTTAATTATGGAAATCTTAAGTATATATGAAAATAAGACATGGCCTGAAAAGATAGCTTAGCGGACTAAGCACCTGCTTAGGCAAACAGAGACTGGAGTTCAATCCTCTGTGCCATATGCTGCACCAGCCTGCCCTGGGTGCCCTGAGCTGGACAATGAGACCGGATGTGGTGGTGCACACCTGTAGTCCCAGCACTGGGGAGGCTGAAGACAGGAGGATCACTACCAGTCTGAGCTGTGTAGTGAGACCCTGTACCAAATACATGCATGCATACATACATATAAATAAATAAGTAAATAAATAAATGACAGAATAATGAACTTTCATTGGCCTGGGACAGTTAAGTCATATGTACATCACTCAGCTTAAGCAGTTACTATCAGCTATCATGAATCTTTTACTTTTTTCTACCTGAATCATTAACATTTCTGAATGTCTTTTGGAATTCTAAGTATGAAAAACTGGATTACTTGTTTTCAAATGTAGTATAGGTAACATTTTTATACTGTTAAATTTAGAATTATGCTTCAAAAATTTTGTATAAACTGGCAATTATGGGCTGGGGAGTTAGCTTGGCAGGCTAAGCACTTGCTTGGTAGGCACAAAGACCCGGGTTCAATCCCCAGTACCGCATGCCATGCTGGCCCGGGAATCCCAGGTATGTTGTGCTGGCCACTGGAACCAGGTCACAGGTAGGCAGAGACAGGAGGATCACTATGAGTCTGAGCTGCCTGATGAGACCCTGTACCAAATACATAAATATATAAATAAATGAATGATTGATTGAAAATAAAACAAAACTGGCAGTTATTTATTTTTATATTGTTAAATTTAACATTGAGATTTTCTCTACATATATTCCATTTGATTTTATTTATTTGCTTGTTTTTTGTGATACTGGAGGTTTTTTGTGTCCTGGCTTTGTAGACAAGTGCTGAACAACTGAGTTATACCACTTGCCCAGGGTTTTAATATTTTGCAAATTGGGCAGTTGCCATTTATTTTAGTAAAATATTGTGGTGGCCACTAGGGAGCCAGAATGATTAGGATGTCAGAGCTTATTTTGCTTGAAGTTCACTTTTCGCTTGAAAAGAAGACTTAGTAAAAGCCATTCATTCATTCATTGGTAGTGGTGATTGAACCCATGACCTTGGGGATATTATCGGTAAGTACCATTAAGATACATCCCCAGCACTTTTTTATTTAGCAGGATCTTGCTAAATTGCTCATGCTGGACTCAAACTTGTGACATTTCTTCAGCCTCCACAGTGGCTGAAATTACATGCCTGGCCAGTAAACACAGAAGGTAGCAACATACCTAAGAAAACTTCTGGAACCAATATAGTTAGCAGTATTTTACTTTCGCAGAGTAAAGACTGTGTATGAAAATCTAGTATTAATTTTTGTGTTTGTGTGTCTATTTGAGACAGGGTCTCGCTATATAGCTCAGGCTGGCCTTGAGCTCACTTTATAGCCGAGGCTGGTCTCATACTTGAAACAATCCTACTGCTTTAGACTCCTGAATGCTGGGATTGCAGGCTTTGTTCTAGTTTTTTATTTTTGTATTTTTTAGGGAAAGGTCTACAGGGTGTTCAGGGTCTCACTACTAGATTGGACTTGTAGTGATTCTCCTGTTTACAGCCTTCAAAGTGCTGGGGTTACAGGTGCGTGCCACCACGCCCAGTCTCCATTGCTCTCTCAGTGTGCCCCAGAGGCAGGGCCAGTATGGCAGGCCCCAGGAATTGAACCCCCGCCCCCCCAATCCCTGCACCTGATTGCAGGCACTTTAATCCACTGAGCTATTTGGCTGGCCTTGTTCTAGTTAATTTTTTTTTTTTTTTTTTTTTTTTTTTGGTGGAACCAGGGTTTGAACTCAGGCCCTTGCACTTGCCAGGGAAGCGCATATTCCACTGAGCCATCTCCCCAGCCTCTCTAGTTAATTTTTAAAATACTTTTTCCACCAAAAAGTATATAATCTTAGAATAAAGAATTATCGTTTATATTTGATTTTATGAAATATTTACTATTTTTTTCCCTATTTTTGCTTCATGACCAATAAAAGATGATAATTTCCAATTGAAATTTGTGCCTTACTGCTTTTAAGATCCAGTGCGTTGAAAGAGATTTAATTGATTGGTAACTGATACTTTTGAAAGTTATGGAATACTCTAGTGGGCAGTTCAAATTTCTGCTGTACACAGTTTGTGATTTTTCTTTTTTATTTTCTTTCTCTCTTTCAATACTGGGGATTGAACCCAAGGCCTTTATATTGAGCAATGTTCAGAGTCCTTTTTAAAATTATTTGAGACAAAGTTTCTCTTAAGTTGCTCAGGCTGGGCTCAAATTTGAGACCTTCCTATATTAATTAGCCTGCCGGAGTGCTGAAATTGACTGGTATGTGCCACCACTTTTGGTGCTGTCCCTTTTTTAAAAGCCTGAAGTTCGATTCTAAAATTTAGAGAAATTTGAAAACCTGGGGAATAGTTGCTGATAGCTATCTAAATGTTAAAAATATTTTTTGAAGAATATAGTATTTGTCCATCATAAATGTTTTATATCTATTCATGTGATTTTTCAAAATTTATTTATTTATTTTTTGGTACCAGGGATCAAACTCAGGACCTTGTACTAGCCAGACAGGTGCTTATACCATTGAGCTGTCTCCCTAGCTCTAAAAATATTCTTTGAGATCAAGGCTGAACTCTCAAAATGTTCCTTTAATTCGTGAAATGCTTGTAATTTTTTATGTGTAAGTTCTGTTAACTATTGTTGCTAGTTATTAATTTTGTTTTTAGTAGTACATATTTGGAGTACATAATTGCATTCATTGTGGAGTTAGTACACATATCTGACACATTTGTAATTTTTACAAGATTGTAGGTTACTTGGATTCAAATGAAATAAATAGCCTTGTGTATATTCGCAACGTAGTAGAGAACTTGAGCTATCCTAAAAGTTCAGTAAAAGCTTGAGTTTAAATTATAGATATTTTATAGCCTTTAAAGTTATTATTAAGTCACACAACAAAATGCTTGTAAATGAAAAACTGTAAAATGGTATGTAGTTGTGAAAAATTATGTCAGTAGGGATCCAGTATAAACTCAGAATAATGTAATCTGGAATTTTGGAGGTGGAAGTTTGCTTAATGTTAGATGCTAGTAATATGTATGTGAGTAAGAAATGTTTCCATATCCAAGAATATAAAAATCGAATAATGGGAAAGAAATATAGTTAAAGAAAAACCTAAATATTAAAAATAATGTATTTTGCTATTATAGTACCTTATAAAAACATACAACAAACAAACTTAATTTTGTAAAATGAGTGCATTAGTTTAGGCTGCGATTGCCACTTGTTTCAGAAGGGGACAACCAAATGTTAAAAATTAAAATGGATTGCTCCCTTATAAAACTGGGTAGAGTATATGTAGTTCTTATTTAAAAGCTGATGTCAATGGTTATAGTTTGAAAAAGTCTTTATAAAGTTTTTATTTTTGTTGAGTTAAAATGTCAGAGTTATGAATGTGACTCAAATAATGGTATATAGATGGAATTTTATGAAAAGAAAATAATATATACTTATAAAATCAACTGTTTCTGAGTGTGGTGGCGCATGCCTGTACTCCCAGCACTACTAGCACTAAGGAAGCTGAGCTGGGAAGTCTGCTGTGTGAGGCCACTCTGGGCTGCTTAGTGGGTTCAAGGCCAGTGTGACTTGCAGCGTGAGACTGTCTGAAATAGCAAAGCAAAACAAAATCAAAACCAAAACCAACTCTTTGTTTTGATACAGACAGACAGACAGACAGACAGACAGACAGACAGACAGATAGATACAGAGACAGAGACAGAGACAGAGACAGAGATTGTCCCCTAATGCTAGGCCTCCAGCTCAGGGCTTTGTGCAAGCTAGGTAAGTACTCTATAAAGTATATTCATTCTCTCTCTCTCTCTCTTTTTCTCTCTCTCTCCATTTGATCTGTTTTTCTGTTTCTTTGAAGAAGACATAGAAATAAATGTATATATGTACGTGTGTGTATGTATATATATTTTTTAATTATTTTTATTTTTTTAATGTATTTAGTACAGAGTCTATAGGGTCTCACTACACAAATAGAACTTGTAGTGATCCTTCCTGTTTTTCAGTCTCCCAAGTGCTGGGATTACAGGCACGTGCTGCCACACCCAGTTTCAGTCACCTGTCTCAGCATGCCCTGGGGTGGGGGGGCCCTGCAGGGCTGGCCCCTGAGCCTGCCTAAGCAGGAGCTTTAATATGTTGAACTATCTGGCCGGCCCTAGGACATGGAAATATTAACTGCTAAAGTTACTGTACTGTATGTGTAAAAAGTAATAATTGATCTTGGATTCAAGACTTTTTGGAATGATGGTAGTTGTCCATTGTTTTAGGTGAATTTCTATAATCTTTGTTCTTTAGGAAATATGTTTGCTGTCATTAACTACATAAAATTATTAAAGTATATTCCTAGGAGATTTTGCTCATTTAATTTTGTGGGTTGTATAACAACATTTCTTTGTATAAAGTAATAGTTTTAATGTCTATAGTAGTAAATCAGTATCTGAGTCTTTGTATGTTGTCTAGATTATTTCAGCTCATTCTCACTCGAGTGCATGCTGCTTTGTTATATTGCCCATTTAACATGTTTATTTCAGAGAAATGTTATTTGACCACTTTTTTATGCTTCCTCTTTTTTTTTTTTTTTTTTGAGTTGGGGTCTTACTATATGGTTCACGCTAGCTTTGAAGTCTTTGCCATAGCTCACATTGGGCTTAAACTTACAATTTACAGGTGTGTACCTCAGTGCCTGGTTCTCCAATGCAAGTGACTCTTTGTTGAGTTTCTCCTATGCACCAGGCCCTGTTAGGCCCTGGAACTTCCAGAGTTCACTTGGACTTGTATTCCCATAGAGAACACATGTTAAATACTTTGGAAGGTGTAACCTTTTTATTTTTTCTGCATTAGAACTTCTAGGTTAATACTTAAGTTGTTTTTTTTTTTTTTTTAAGTAAATGTTCAGAGACAAAAAGGATAGATTGCGAAACATGGGTAAAATTTTAGTTTGTAAAAATTATTTTTAGCTGGCGAGAGTTAAATTTTTTAAATTGTGTAAGTTAATATTGGGCTTCATTCTTTTTATAGGTCATTGTTTATAAGAAATTCACTTTAGTAGATCATGTAAACAACTCTTCAGATCATTGAAGATAGTATTGTTTTTATAGTATAATGATGAACCTCCTTAAACATAAATTTTGATAGGGTTAGGTGCTAAGTACAAGATTATGTAATTTGCTATACAGTATGATTTATAGTTTATAGCCTCTTTTTTCTAAAGAAGTAAAGCTTAGCATGTCTATTTCCAGTGAAATGAAATGTTTGTTTTGTGGCCAGTCTGATGAAGATGTATTAAAAACCTTGAGTTTTATGAATTTAAGAATATTTTATTGGGTGTTAAATTTCTTTTAAAAAATGCTTTGTCTCCTATTATAGTGACTTAAAATATAAAATTTTAGATTTATAAATTTATATACCTCATATTGGATTATAAATGGATAAGATTCTATTAAATGGACAACCAAAGCAAGAGTTTGCTTCTTTGGTACCTTGTCTTTTTCTATTCCTATTTTACAGAGTTTGTTTTCATTGTGACTGCATTGCTGTTTCATTATATATATATGAACCTTAAATATGCTTTCTTTCAAAATATGATTCTTAGTATCTGGGATACTTTCATTTATCTACTGCTGGCCTGAGTTTTTGTCCTTTTTCCCTTTTCTTGGTTATTTGACTGTGCACAGGGATAAGAAATTTTCACCATCTTGTTTAATTTTTCCTTTTGGACATTTCTTAGTCTTGGTGATGGTATTCTTCAGATGCTTTGTTTTTTGTTCCTTTACTGATTTTTTCTGCTCCTATATATGGGAGTGTATTGTATGAAAACTGAAATTATGTGGTTTGGGGCACTAGGGGGATAGTATGTGTCAGACTGCTTTTGTATCTGCATGTCTTATTGATACAAATTCTGTATGGCTATGACTAGTAGCTCAGGGTTTCTTTGTATAACAACTCAATGTGTCTGATCAGCTTTGGATAGAAATAGCAGTAATTCCATTCAGCATCCTAAAAGTTGGAGGTTGTACAACTTTACTACCTAATTCTTACTTTCTTTATTCCTCAGTGCATCTTAAATAGTTGTGTGTCTTTTTCTTGAGTTAGAATCATAGTAACATCTTTTTTCAATTACTGTTCTTACTGCTGTAATTTCTTTGTTCTTGGTTGAAAGTCTCAGGAAGTGCATCAAAACCTAAGAGAAGCTTATGATTCTCAATCCCAGCTGCCATCCTATTCTTTCCTCTGTAGGACAGCCCATGTACTCTCGTGAACATGGTGCTGCTGCATCTGAGCGACTTCAGTTGGGGACACCGCCTCCTCTGTTGGCAGCTCGTTTGGTGCCACCTCGAAACCTCATGGGATCCTCCATTGGGTATCATACCTCAGTGTCCAGCCCCACCCCTCTGGTCCCAGGTAAGCTTTGCTGAAGATGGCCATCCACCTCGTGAATCTTTTGTACACCTTAAGTGGCCAGCCTAGTGCCATGCAGATCAGCTCTCATGAATTTCCATTAAAGCTCTTAGCTAGTTTTATTTTCTGTTTCTCTGCTTCCTTGGTTTGTCCCTAGTGGTTGCTAGATGATTAGGCCTCCTGTGTGTGTGTCATCTCTGGTGTCCCCTGTATTTACTTTTAGCATCTCCTCGGCAACAAAAGTTATGCTAGTTCTTTTAGGTAGTTTCTAATTAAGTGGGTATAAAGATATCTACTTGAATTTTTTCTAATTAGTTACATATTACAAGAAAAACTAGGTTAATTTTTCTTTATAATTAAATAAAAGTGAACATCTGGTTTCTTGATTATGGGTAAATGTCATTCTTTCATTTGGCCCTTGTATGGACTGATTGCATTCTTCAGAAGTCTTCCCTCCCGCTGACACATAGTTTGAAAATCTGTTGCACTTTGTTGGTGTCTCAAGAGATTAAATTTTTTTTTTTTTAGATTTCAGTTCATAACAAGTAAGGGTACATGTTTACTGGGGTTCTGTTTTGATTATGTAACTTAATTTGCAACCTTAACTAGATTTTCTGTTAGTGGTACCAAATGGTGACTAAAAACCTTTTATCATTATTTGCTGATTTTTTTTTTTTTTTTAAAGTCAGAGACCATACATACTTCGTTTATTACATAAAATTTTTAGACTTAACTTTTATGACCACGGAAGCTATTATTTTCTACATCATCTTCAAACTATTATCAATCTTAATTTTCTTTCTTAGTATTGGCAGTTTAACTCAGGACCCTCACATGGAGTTATGTCCTTAGCACTTTTTAAATTTTATTTTGAGATAGGGTCTCTCTAAGTTGCCTGGGCTGGGTCACACTTTGTGTTCCCTTTCTCAACCTTCCAGAATGCTTGGATTACAAGCATGTGTCACCATGCCCTGTCACATTTAAATTTAATAAAGAAGATGGCATTTGCTTTTAAGCTACACATCATTACAGTACATCAGAAGGGCATGCTTGCAGTTAAGTGTTGTCTTTGTCTTAGAAATTATTAAGAGGGGTCTTAGAACAAAAGCCAAAATTAATAAAAATGAAGCCCAAATAATACTGTTTGGCCAATAACTTAAGCATCACCTAACTATTGAGGTAGTAGAGTCCATTTAGTTTTATTAGCCATCATCTGATAAGTTTAAGGCCAAATAAAAGGCCTTGAGAATAATACGTGAACATTACTGTGATAACAGTTAAATTTCCAAGCTATCCTCCTCTGAGGAAGGCAGCACAAGTGGCCCTGGTGATTCATTTTCAGCATCATTTAACATTGTATTAAAGAGTACCTTTTTTTTTTTTTTTTTTTTAAATCTATTGATGTCCTTTCTGTGTAGCTCCACAAGCCATTTTGGAAAACCACAAGACAAGAAAACAATGAGAATGAATTTTGTAGGTTTGATGCCAAATACAGTATGTCAGAATCACTTGTGTTGGTGTTTTCTTGTTTTATACTCATAGTGACTGGTTGATGTTTTTGCTCATTAATCTGAAATTAGGGGGATTTACATTGTCTGGTGGAAAGTTTGAAGAGAGTTGAGAATGAGAAATTGAGGACTTTTGAAACATAATAATGTTTATTAAGTAGGGCCTACATAAACAAATGGCTGAGAGTCCAGGTGGATTCCTCAGTGGGGGTATTGTGCTGAATCATAGAGCTGGCTGAGGGTTAGTATTGATCTGAATGTACTTTATCTTATAGCTTAAATTGAAGTTAAGAAATTTTTTCACTAAGAAAAAAAGACACAAGGATTTCTAAATCACACTTGTGGAAATTAAGATTTTCAGCATTTTATGTAGGGTGAAGAGGACATATGACATTTAGAAATAAACTTCCAGAATTTTTCTTAATACTAACAAAACAATATAACATTAGAATTTTAAAAGTTGAATTTTTGGTTGTAGAAAAAAAATAAATGTGACAAAAGCACATTGATGAAACAACGTGGTACTAAGATAGTTATTAGTGTGTTAATATAGAATTTGTTTTATGTATCTAGGTGGATTCCCCCTGACAGGGGAGACTGAATCCAGAGCCTTCTCACTGATCTGCATCCTCCAGTCTTTAAATTTTCATTTCTCATACTTGTAGTCCGTAGGCTCCTGATTGGATTTACCAACCTGTGTCATTTGAAATGTTTTGATATGAAAGAGCTGTTTTCTCTTTAAAGTGAAGATATTCAAATGAATATATTGATTCTTTTTCCTAATTAAAAAGTACTAGGAATTGGTGAGACATGAGTCTGAACAATTCTTCATATATAATGTTCATTACGTACGTGAAAATTTGTCTTAATGTGCACTGAAGTTTAGATTAAGTGATTGACATATAGACTAGAAATGACTGAACAAATCCAGAAATACACTACTAGTATTTGAGAATATATATATATATATATATTTTTTTTTTTTTTTTCTGTGACGATAGCATTTTTTTTCCTTTCATTTTCAAAAGGAATGTGTATATACTAGAACTCAAAGAGAAATACATGCGATTGTTAGAATCACATTTGGCAGCTATTTATTTTATAGCAATGAGAAGCAATTTAACCACTCTCTGATTTTGCATGTTTTATTGCTTTGTTTTCCCTCAGATACGTATGAACCAGATGGCTATAACCCAGAAGCACCTAGTATTACCAGTTCTGGTAGATCACAGTACAGACAGTTCTTTTCAAGAACACAGACACAGAGACCCAACCTGATTGGCCTAACATCTGGAGATATGGATGCAAATCCAAGAGGTGAGAATATTTGTAAACTTTTCCTCTAATAGTATATGTTATATAGTAGCTGAATATAGTTACTTGTATTTCAGATTCACTCGAGAAAATTAGAATATTTACTCTTTGAAGAATACTACATAAGAATCTCAATTTTTTTTTCCTCAATTGTTTTTAAATAAGAATTTAAATTTCTTTTTTTTTGTGGAACCAGGGATTGAACTCATTGTCCTTGCGCTTACCAGGGAAGCGCTTATTCTATTGAGCCATCTCCCTGGCCCCCCTAAATTTAATTTTTTTTTTAAATTTTATTTATTTATTTATTTGAGAGAGAGAGAGAGAGAGAGAGAGAGAGAGAGAGAGAGAGAGAGGCCAGCTCAGCCCACCAGGGGGCAGGGCTGGCTGGCATGTGGTGCTGGGGGATTGAACCGCGGTCCCTGATGCTTTTGCTAAGCTTGTTAGACCACTGAGCCATCTCTCCAGCCCTAAATTTAATTTTAAAGCTATAATTAAAATATATTTTAAAATATAAGTAATATTAATGTGAATTTAATTCCATTTTTGTTTGGCTAAGACTTCAGATTGTTTTAGCTGTGTGCTGGGCAGTTTGCTACATATTAGGTAGGGCTAATGGCTTTGTGTCAGATTTTACCAAATACCATATATTATTATTATCTCTATATAAAGCAACTTTATAAGAGGTTCTGTTCATCTCTAATTGGAATTTGAACTCAAGTCTCAATCCAAAGAATACCCTCTGACTTTCTTTGCTGTATTGCATGTCTTATGTTGTTACCTCATTACCTGGAATTAGTGGGTAGGTCATGTTCTCAGTTTTCACAGTTTCCCTTTGTCACTAGCCTAATCTGTCAGTACATTCATACATAAGAATCCATAGATAATCTCTCTGTTTAAGTCATGTGGTCTTTACTGCAGGTATTTCCTTTTTTAAAAAATGTATTTGGTACAGGGTCTCACTATTGGTGCTCAGACTTGTAGTGATCCTCTGTTTTCACCCTCCCCAGGGCTGGGATTACAGGCCTACACCACCACACCTAGTTAGGGTGGCTGACTCAGTGCACCTGGGGGTGGGGCCAGTTCAGCAAATGGTGCTGGGAATTGAACAGAATCAAACCCCAGTCCCTGTACTTGCCTAAGCAGACAGTCCACTGAGCTATCTCACCAGCCCCAGGATTTTCCTCTTGTACAGGTCATAAGTCACTTTACCAACTTTTTCTTTCTTTTAAAAAAAACTACTTCTTTATTGAAAAGCATTAAGCAATGTCAGGTGGCAATCATGATAGCTATTTAGAAAGGCATAATGACATTTTAAATTCTAGAATGCTTTATGCCATCACAATCACTGTCTGCTCTGTTAGCTTTCTGAAAATATAAGTTTTATAAGGGCAGGGATATCTGTTTGTCTATCTTTAAGTTATAGTACAGTTTCTGAGGTATAATAGCTGCTCATTGAATACATAATTACATGAATGAATTTTTTTTTTTTTTTTTTTTTTTTTTTATTTTTTAGGGAAGGGTCTACAGGGTGTTTAGGGTCTTACTACTAGATTGGACTGTTAGTGATCCTCCTGTTTACAGCCTCCCAAGACTTGGGATTACAGGGGCGTACCACCATGCCCATTCTCATTTGCCATCTCAATGCACCCAGGGTGGGACCCGCATGGCAGACCCGGGATCAAACATGAATGAATATTTTTTTGAGAGACTGAGGATTGAACCTAGGGTTCCACTGCCACTGAGTTATATCCCTAGCTTTTTAAAAATTTTATATTTTGAGATGGAGTCTTATTAAGTTGCCCATGACTTGCTATGCTTATAGGAGTGTACCACTATGCCTAGTAAATGGTTGAATGTTTGCATCATCACTTGCCTGACATAGATGAAATGAACATACTACTTGCTGCCCATCTCATCCCAGCATCTTACAATGTGTTATTTTGTTTGTTACAGTTGATAAAATTCGGGAATACCCAGAGTATGACAGGGATGATTTGTGGTGGTTTTGGTTTTTTGTTGTTGTTGTTCAGTATACCCTATTCCTCCCACAGGTAACCTGTTAAGTTTTTTTTTTTTTTTTTTGTGGAACCAGGGATTGACCTCAGGCCCTTGCGCTTGCCAGGGAAGCACTTATTCCACTGAGCCATCTCTCTGGCCCTGGTAACCTATTGTATTTAGTTTTTTGTAACATTTTAGTCATAACTGTTGGGAGAGAAATACACCACTTAATATTGACTTTAAATTATCTTCCCAGGGGCTGGAGAGATGGCTCAGTGGGGGGCTGGAGAGATGGCTCAGTGGTCTAAAGCACCTACTTGAAACAAGCTTGGCAATGCACAGGGACCGCGGTTCAATCCCCCAGCACCACATGCCAGCCAGCCCTGACCCCTGGTGGGCTGAGCTGGCCGCACACTCACACACACACACAAATAAATAAATAAATGTTAAAAAAAAAAAAAAAAAATTATCTTCCCAACTTTTAGGTTGAAATATTTTGAACCTACAAAAAAAAAAAAAAATCAAAAGAAAAAAGGTGAACATATGAATACCTTCACATAGCTTTACCAGTTCTTGTCTCCAGTTTGTATTTTGTCTCCTTTGAGGGTGAATGCCCTCATTTACACTTTCTTCTGTCTCTCCTTGCTCCATTCCCCATATATTTTTTTCCTGAATTACTTGAAGTAAGTGATAGGCACTGTGACACTTGTGCAGACACAATATTATTGGCACACACACAAAAATCCTAATTCTATAATAGTACCCAATCCTTACGATGTGGTGAACTTCTTGTGTAATGACATCTAGAGGTAGGTAATATCTGCCCATTAATGGAGCTAAGTTTGATTGCTTGCCTAAGGTGCTAATTATTATGTAGTACCCTTGTGAAAGTAATGTATATTGGCGCCATGTATATCACCTTGTTCTTTGATAGTCTTTCTTCAGTAATTTATTGCCTGTGTTGGTAATCTAGCTGAGTTAGTATTTTGGGGTTGCCTTTGAATTTTTAGGCTAGGATTTTTTAAATTTTTATTTATTTATTTATTTATTTATTTTTTGGCGGAACTGGAGATTGAACTCAGACCCTTGTGCTTGCCAGGGAAATGCTTATTCCACTGAGCCATCTCCCTGACCCTAGGATTTCTATTTTTAAGGGGAGAAGGCATTTATAATTTGTCTTGCTCTTGCATATTTCTAGAAAGGAAATGGTAGTAGAATGCTATTCATAGTACTTTTTAGCTTTTAGTCTAAATATTTTAATCATTGTGACATTTCCTTGAAGCTCAGAAATGTGATTTGTTTTCCTCAACAGCTGCTAATATTGTCATCCAGACCGAACCACCAGTTCCTGTTTCAATTAATAGCAACATAACCAGAGTTGTTCTTGAACCAGATAGCCGAAAAAGAGCTGTGAGTGGTTTGGAAGGGCCACTCACAAAGAAACCTTGGCTGGGAAAGTAAGACAATTTGCTACTAGTGTCCTTTAATTGGCATTTTAGTTGTTGTGTTTGCATAAGTGAAATGGTTAAAATTAGGAGTTGTCACAAATAAGTGATTTTCAAACTGTGTCTCAAAGTCAGGAATCCAAGGACATCTTCAGAATTATTTATTTATGTATTAAGATGTTTTAAAAATTGAAAGCTACTAGAATATTTGTAATGGATATTTATAATTTTTACCTATTTCTACATCTAAGCAAATATTAAAAATTATTAAGATACTAGACGTGAACAGAAAGGAAGAAGTTTTGTACCTTTAGATAAGTTGAGAAATACACATTAAAAAATGGTGCTCTATCCTTGCTTTAATGTTAGAATCTGGTAATGTAGATTCTTTTTAACATGTGATTTTTCAAAAATGTTAATTGGGCCTTTTCCTTATAATATTTCACCATTCACTTTCTTGCTTCTCTCTGTTGTCATACAGTAAGGATAATGTAAAAATTGCTTAATAATTTCTGAAGAATACTCTCAAAAGGCAATTTATAATTCAGATTTTACTTTCTTTGCTGCTGTATGTCTTGGCTAGGGATGGCATGGGAAAATTAACCAAGATCTATTATTTGTTTCAGGCAAGGGAATAATAATCAGAGCAAACCAGGATTCTTGCGAAAGAATCAGTATACAAACACCAAATTAGAAGTCAAGAAAATCCCTCAGGAATTGAACAATATTACCAAGCTCAATGAACATTTTAGCAAATTTGGAACTATTGTTAATATCCAGGTAAATGTGGTCTGAACAGTGGCTGATCCACTTGGAAATATTCTTGTCAGCTCACCTTATTTAAATGAGTCCGGGGCCCGTGAGATAGCTCAGTAGACTAAAGCCCCAGCTTAGGAAAGTGCACAGACCACAGTTTGATCTCCGGCACCACCATGCTGGCTCTGTCCCCAGGGTGTGTTGAGCCAGCCACAGAGTCCAGGCGTAGTGGCGCATGCCCTCTGTAATCCCAGCACTGAGGAGGCTGAAAGCAGGAGGATCATCATGAGTTCGAGCTGTGTAGTGAGACCCTATAATAACTAAATACATACAAAAAAAGTAAATGAGTCAGTAATTTTGATCATCTCTGAGTGCTGTAAACTTCACTATATATGTCTATGTACGAGTATGATGGAAATTTTTATTATGAATTCATTTGCTTCTTTTTCTTTAGTGTTTTGTTTTTTTTTTTTCTTCCCTTTGGTATGCAGGGTCTCACTACACAACTTAGACTTGTAGTGATCCTCTTGACAGGGCTGGGATTATAGACATGTGCCACCATGCCCGGACTCCCATCATGGGCTCAGAGTACTTGGGGGTGGGGCCAATGCAGCATGGGGTGCCAGGGATCAAACGCTGGTCATTGTGCTTACCTAAACAAGTCCTTAGTCTGCTGAGCTATATCGCTAGCCCTTAGTTGGTTCTTTTCTGTAGGACATTGAGCTAGTTAGTGTATTTATGTCCAAGTTAACATTAATGTTCTAGGGGCTGGGGAGATGGCTCAGTAGGATAAGTGCTTGACTGGCAAACGCAAGGATCTGAGTTCAATCCCCGGTTCCGCAAAAAAAAAAAAAAAATTAATGTTCTAATAGGTTATCTTAGATTTTTGTTAACTTTTAAGATTGTAATCCTGTCTATTGGCTAATTTTTATAATGTGATGAAGTAATTAGTAATGATTTTAATCTTAAGATTTTAGATAGTGTTTATCCAAGGTCAAGTAAATTGTTATATCTCCCATTGTCTGCTTGATAAATATTTGAATTTATAAGTTTGTGATTTTGTTGTGCTGATATGAAGGGAACTTAAAGGCTAGGTTGACACACGCGGGCTGTTAATTCATGTCTTGCTGCCATCTGACTCGAACCATGAGTGGTAGATGCATGACTGTTCCATTGGTTAGTTTTTTGTTAATTTTATTGTAAAAAGACCAGTAAGGGCCAAAATGTATGATAGATATTGCGACTTTTATATCTATCTATTTATTTTGTTTTATCAGGGTTGAATTTGGGACTTTGTGCTTTCCATGCATGTGCTTATGCTGCTGGGCTATATCCCTAGCCCTAAGATATTGTGAAATAAGAAAAAAAAAATGTTCAAATTGGGAGGGGATCTAGGGAGGGGGAAAGGAAGGAAGGTATAAGGAAAAAAATGATGAGAAAAGAAGAATAAAATGGAAGGGAGGGAAGGTGAATAGGAGAAAAAAAGACCCCAGTAATATCGTGTACAGGTACAAATTCCCTATGATGATTGTGATCATTATTTATACCTACAGTGTCCTAATAAACTTAATTAAACTTAAAATCTGCATGTACCACCAGTGGTTCAAACCTACAGAAACATGTTAAGCTGGAATTTTAATCTGTTATTCCTTTTTTTTCTTCCCCAATCTACTATTCATAATGCATCTTGTCAAACCAAAATACAGCTGAGCTTAAGAAAGTCTTATTTGGGGGCTTAGTATTTCAAATAATTGAGTCAAAGTGTTCTTTTTGAGAGCCTTTTAATCATTTTCCCCTTGGGTGCAGAAGCAGTATATGTTTAATTTTGGGAAAATATTAGACAAGTAACAAAGCAAATTGCCTGAATTTTACTGCTTGCCAATAAGGACTTCTTTTTTTTTTTAAGACTGGGCCGCTGCTGTATAGTTGAGGTTGACCTTGAAACCACTATCTATGTAGCTCAGGCTGGCCTCGAACTCATGGCTGTTCTCCCATCTCAGCTTCCTGAGTGATGAGATTATAGGAATGTACCACCCTGCCTGGCTTTAGGACTATTTATCTTTGATGAAAAGATGTAAGGTTTAAGTTTTACATTTTAGAATGTACATATGGCCAGGCATGGCAACACACACCTGCAATCCCAGCTCTCAGGAGGTTGAGGCAGCCTGGGATACATAGAGAGTTCAGGACCAGCTTGAAGTACATAGCAAGACTGTCTCAGACATCTAAAACAAAAACCCAACCAGGATGTATGTGTTTGTGTATGTATTTTAAATGCTCACAAACTTAAAAAAATATGAAGATGTGATCATACAAAATGTCCCTACCTTTTTTCTTTTAAAAGTTTTCTGTATCATTTTTTTTCTCACCATATTTAGAAAAATTTAAAAAGTTTCACGTAATTGGGTGTAGCAGTCTGCCCAGGCCAGCATAACAAATACTGTAGGTGGAAATAACCAACAGGAATGTATTCTAATAGTGTGTACTTTTTTGGAGACTGGCCAGTTCTGTGAGGGATCTCTTTTTAGGTTGCAGACAGTGGGCAGCACTGTGTCTTTGCATGGTGCACAGGGGAAGGGGGGCCTTTCTCTTCTTGGAAGGCCACCAGTCTGATTCAATGAGGACCCCAAACTTAGACTTCATGTAACTATAATTATGAACTAAAAGAGCTGTCTCTACTGGAAGTTAGGAATTCAACATGCAAATTTTGGGGCAACATAATTTGGCCTATTTTTTTTATTTTTTATTTTTTTAAATTTTATTTGGGTGTGTGTGTGTGTGTGAGTGAGTGGCCAGCTCAGCCCACCAGGGGGCGGGGCTGGCTGGCATGTGGTGCTGGGGGATTGAACCGTGGTCCCTGTGCTTTGCTAAGCTTGTTCTAAGTAGGTGCTTTAGACCACTGAGCTGTCTCTCCAGCCCCGGCCTATTTTTTTTTTAAAGTGCTAGATAAAATGTACTAATATGTATGGGAGAAAAGAGAATAATGATATACATAATCTATTTAATTATTTTGTACTTTAGGAGTTTATGTTGCTTCTATTATTTTCTTAAAGGTTGCTTTTAAGGGTGATCCAGAAGCAGCTCTCATTCAGTACCTCACCAATGAGGAAGCCAGGAAAGCCATCTCTAGCACAGAAGCTGTTCTAAACAACCGATTCATCCGAGTCCTGTGGCACAGAGAAAACAATGAGCAGCCAGCCCTGCAGTCCCCAGCACAGCTGCTTCTGCAGCAGCAGCAGACACTGAGTCACCTCTCACAGCAGCACCATCATTTGCCACAGCATCTCCATCCTCAGCAGGCACTGGTGGGCCAGGCTCCTGCCTCCTCGGTGCGTGGTGGTATCCAGAAGGTAATCTGGGGCATTAGTTTCGTGCCACATTAGAGCTACGTAGCGTGTGATATATGAATCGACAGTATCTGGTCACCAGGCAGGCTTATTAGAAATACATAGTTTGAGATCTTATCCTATCCCACTCATTCAGAATCTTTGTGGACAAGACCTAGGAATCTGTTCTGATAGCTCTTATTTCCCTTGAAGTTTGAGAGTGGTGGTATATGTGCATGTTCCTGGGCCTCACAAGTAATTCTAAATTTAAAATTGTTAGGTATGGGGTACATAAAGCTACATGAAGAAGTACTTTTCACTGGATGTTGTTGTACATGCTTATAATTCAATTATTTGGGAGGGGAAGCAGGAGGATCAGAAATTCAAGGTCATACTGGGCAACTTAGCAAGATCCTATATCAAAAAAAAAAAAAAAGGGCTGAGGATATAGAAAACTTCTGTTTTAATGCTGGAAGTGTAGGGGTATAGCTCAGCAGTAGGACATTTGCCTGCCATGTGTGAGGCCCTGAGTTCAGTACCCAAAAACTGGAATACAAGCTCCAAGAGAATTGGTATTGTGACTGCTTTGCTTTTTCTGTTTCTAGTGTCTAAAGCAACACATGTACATATTTCTCAAAACATTTGAATGAATAGATGAAGGAAGGAAAGAACAAACTACCATGTCTTTGAACCATTCATATAGTGATTATAATCTCCACCTAAGTAGTCTCATATTTAGATTAAAAGCAGATTTTTAAAAAAGTATTCCTTATAATATGCAGTGTCACTCCCACTTACTATCCTTCTAAATGTTCGTTCATTTTTGTCTATATCACATCCCATATCATATTAGTATCCAGAGATGAATGTTTGTCATAGATGTTGGATGGATAGGGATGAAAAGAGTACTATCACCACCTCTGTAATTTTTAGACCATCTACCATTATTGTAATTTAAGATTGCCTTGCAGTTTTTTTCTTGTACTGGGGATTGAACTCAGGACCTTGGCTTGCCAGGCAGGTGCTTCTACTGCTGAGCTATGTACCATACCTGCCTTGTGTTTTTGAGATGATCATTTCACATTTACTCATGCTAAGCTGTTAGGGAACACCCTGTCTTCAGAGCATTATATGTTAGGTGGGACATTTTTATTGCTGCTAGAAATTGAACCCAGGGCTTCATGTATCCAACCACATGTTCTACCACTGAGTTACATATATATTACTACCTATTGTGACATAGGTTGGACATCTATATAAGTATGGCTAGTATAGCATCAGCTTTTGTTTATTCACCACTTCATTTGAAAAATAAAACCATACAGATAATTGGAGCACCTTCCTATTTCCTTAATAATGTTTCCCAGCATAAGTCATAGTACCTTAAAATTGTGTCATTTTTAGGTGTATTTAAAAATTTTTACTACATGTTTGTTTTTATGTGCAGATAATGAACAAACCACAGACATCAGGTGCATATGTTCTTAACAAAGTTCCTGTCAAACATCGCCTTGGACATGCAAGCACTAACCAGAGTGATGCATCACACTTGTTGAATCAGTCTGGTGGTGCTGGGGAGGATTGCCAGGTACTCATTTCTGTAAACCAACTCTGTGTGTGTGTGTGTGTGTGTGTGTGTGTGTGTGTGTGTGTATTTAAGAGTGGCACAGAAAAACCGATTATCATCCAGATTTGTAATTATCTGCTTTCTCAGCCAAGTGTTATAGTGTGTGTCCTCCCTAATTTCTATGCCTCAAGTTAGAAATTTTCTCTCAAAAAAAATTTTTAAGTTTAAAGATAAGTAGAAATTTGAAAATTTTAGCTGCTTATCAATAGGTAACCTGGGCCTCAGAAGTAGTTCTAAATTTATAGTTGTTAGATATGGGCACATAAAGCTACATGAAGAAACACTTTTATTAATCATATTCCCCATTAATAAAATTAACACAGCAAAGGGAATTATGTCATAGTAAATCATACTATGAAATAGGTCTTAAGTAGTTTCTTTTGCTTTTAGGAATATTTTTATCTAGTAATTCTCTAGTATGGTGATTATTGTAAAGAAAAGGCCATACACACCCCCAGAAAAAAAGGAAAAAGAAGAGCAACAACAGGGGCTAACAACCAAAATACTGTAACGTCTCAAGCTAAAAGTTTGATTCTGGCACATCAATAGTTCAAAAGAACAGAATAGAAAACCTAGAAGTAGACTCAGTTGTGAATAGGAATTATATGCTAGCAAAGTATCTGAGGTCTGTAGAGAAAATAATGGACTTTTAATAAATATAATCTAGGTAACTGGGTAACCATACAGAAAAGATAAGATTAAACCCTTTTAATTTATTACATCATAAACCAGGAAAAATTCTAAAAGGTCTGATTTTTAAAAATGCTTTAAAATGCAGTGGTTTGTGTGTATATTCCTAATGGGGTATATACCCTGAGGCCAGGAAGCTATTTATCCATTTTTTGTAGGGTTCAGGATGAAACTGAGAGCCTGGAGAAAGCTTAGCAAGTGCTCTACTGCTAAGTCCCAGCCCCTAAAAGCTACTAAAATTACATTAGCAACTTAATAGAATTATTTTAATAAAATAACAAACATTAGCTATGCACAGTTTTTACAGTGCTCAGGAATTTTCCTTTGTAGTTAAAGTAGCTTAATTTTTTTTTTTTTTTTTAAATGAGGAAGGGTTTACTGCTGCTGAAAGTTTATAGAGGGTTCAATCCATGCTTGGCTGGCTCCAAGGCAGGGTGGCATGTGACAGGAGAAACAGCTCATGGCAGAGAAGGCAGCAGGTGTCGTGAAGTAGCATGTGACAAAAGTAGCTTATTATTGAGAATAAGTAAACATAATTGCTGGGAAAAGTTTTATATATAGATATATTATTTGTGATTAAATTTTCCATGAATTTTTAAATATTTCCTGCATCTGATGGTATCATGTATTAGAAGTTAGTTAAACAACAACAACAAAAAAAAGAGCAGTGCAATAGGGGCAACTTGAATCCGGTAATGTCCAAGTAGGTCTGCTGTGCTTTAAGAAGGGAGGCCAGCTGGCAAGTCATCTTTTCAGAAAATGAAGACAGTTTAAATACTAAACCCAGTGAAGATGGCTACCTCCTGGTGTTCGCAGTCAGATATGTGAGCTAACCACGTTTATATTTGAGTATAAAAACGTAGCAAATCTTTTTTTTTTTTTTTTTTTTTTTGGTACAGGGTCTTACTAAGTAGATCGGACTCGTAGTGACTCCTGTTTTCAGCCTCCCAAGTATGTAGCAAATGATTAATAAGCATGATATTAAGATAATTGCAGACTGCCATCATTCTGCGGAAGATTTTCAAGTTTGAAATATGGTCTATTTCAGTTACGGAAAATAATTTATGACAACCCCCTCCACTAGGAGCAATCTGTAGTCAAACATGCTTAGTTCAGTCTGGCCTTGAGCTCACAATTCTTCTGTCTCAGCCTCATGAGTGCTAAGATTATAGGTATGTGTTACCATGTTTGGCTAAAACAAATTTAATTCATTACTTAGTGAGGATGAATATTAACAGTGAAAGCATGGGTGTTAAAAGGTCTTAGTTTAGGATTGGCGTATACTAAGTGATTTTAGATAGGCCTAAAGAAACAAGATTGAATTCCTTAATAAACCCGACCTAGAATAGGAGTGTGACAGTGATCTAAAGCTGCCATCAGTAATGAGAGAGCATTCATTCTCATGAGCCTGTTACAGTTACTGTTTTTTTTTTTTTTTTTTTGCCAAACCAGGGATTGAACTCAGGCCCTTGCGCTTGCCAGGGAAGCGCTTATTCTACTGAGCCATCTTCCCGGCCCTAGTTACTGTTATGGCTTGGGTAATAGTCATATTTTTGTTGTGTTTAGTCATTTATGGGGTGATCTTGATCTGACATAAAAGAGTAGCATTGTCTTATATGAGTGTTCTGTGAAAATTGTATTTACAGAAGGATACTAAGGCCTGTTTGTGAGTGGTAGGCTGGTTATTAAGTGTTACAGGCAGCTATTCTTGCCACAGTTAAAATTTAAAAAGAGGGCCAGCCAGCTAACTCAGCGGATTAAAGCACCTCCTTAGGCAGATGCAGGTGCCAGGGTTCGATCCCTGGCATGCCATGCCTGCCCCACCCCTGGAGCACACTGAGATGGAAATTGAGACTGGGTGTGGTAGTGTGCACCAATAATCCCAGTGCTTGGGAAGCTGAAAACAGGAGGATCACTATGAGGCCAATCTGTGTAAGGAGACCCTGTAGACACTATACTAAATACATTAAAAAATAAATAAAATTTAAAAAGAAAAATACAGAACTGTAGTTAGAAACAAAATATTAGGACCAAGAAAAATATTTACTTATTTATTTTTTGGGCTGGCTCAGGATGCCTTCAGGGTAGGTCTGGTAAGGCCTGAGGATCTGGGGATCAAACCACAGCATCATGAGCCTGACTGCTTTGTTTAAGCAGTCTCTTAATCAATTGAGCTAATGGGCAGGCCCCCAAAAATCTTTATTCTTCTCTTTGTAGTAACAACTAAGTTTACAAAGAATTAGCTTTTATAAATTAATTTTTTAAATATTAAAAAATTGATTTCTAAGCATTAGTACATAGTCTTACACAAACCATTGTAAGCATCTGTAAGATTTAATTTTTGTGTATTTCTGTTTGTTAATTAAAAAATTGATTTCTAAGAAAAGTAGTATATATACTCTCTTACACAAATCATTGTAAGCATCTGTAAGATTTAATTTTTGTGTATTTCTGTTTGTGTTTTTAAGATATTTTCACCTCCAGGCCATCCAAAAGCAACTTATAGTTCGTCAAACTTAAAGAGCTCTTCTAAAGTCTGTTCAGGATCTAAATCTCATGATGTCCAAGAGGTTCTTAAGAAAAAACAGGTAACAATTTAGAGTTCTTGTCTCATACAGTAGTCCCTTACTATCTCATGGTTTAGTTTTTGCAGACTCACTGTTTTGCAGGTTTTCAAAAAATATTAATCTAAATTATTTATCATGGACTTTTTGCTATATCATGGGATTTTTGCAGTAGTGTGCAGTACTGTGCAAGTATATGCGTAGTATTTATGGTTTAATGATTTTTGCCTAAAAATTTTTAAATATATAAAAATATACTAAAAATGTTAATTCTAACATTAAAAGAATATTAAATCAAAATATTTTACAGTATATATTTCTTTAGTGGATGAATATATACTGTACTGTACAGTATACATGTTTAAATTACATAGGTTTATGAGCTTAGAAAATGGTTAAGAACATTAGAAGTGTTTTTATTTACTTTATTTTTCTGTGGCCAGCTCAGCCCGCCCTGGGGGCTGGGCTGAGGAGGCTGAGGATCAAACTGCATTCCCTGCTCTTGCCTAAGGTGGCCTAAGCAGGCGCGTTAGGCCACTGAGCTATTTCACTGTAGAAGTGTTTTTAAAAGTATGGGAAAGGTTTATAAGTGAGAAGGGTTTATAATGCCACGTCACTACTTCGTTGATTTTCACTTATCTCTTGGGAGTATGTGGAACGTAACCTCTGCGACAAGTGAGGGACCACTGTAGAGGAAAAGACCTGTTAAGTTCTTACGTACCTGGTGGGGGTGGTGGAACAGGCCTGTAATCCCAGCACTTGAGGCCGAGGGAGTAGGATTGTTTTGAGTTTGAGGCCAGCCTGGACTACAAACAGGGATCTTCAAAATAAATACATACATGCATGCATATATACGTGCTTACGTGCTTGTGTTAACACCTCTAAATCAGTTCATGTTGTAAAACTATGTGATAATGCTTACAACTTCTCCATTTAATGTGCACTTGAAAAATAAAGAGAAGAAACAGGAGTTGGCATGTAGCTTAGTGATGTGTGCTTACCTACTGTGAGGTCCAGAGTTCCATCCCCAGTATTGAGGTAAAGAAAAAAGGACAGAGAGAGAAGTTGCTTCACTCTGTTGTCTCTCAGTGACCACATCAAGCATCGCGAGTACGTTTTTCTTGAACTCAAAATCTCGTATGTGCTAATAAGTGTGTGCTCCACCACTGATGAATACCCTCAGCCCTAAAATTTTTTTTCTATACCTTCATTTTTATTTTTCTTCTGTAAAGGTGGGGATCCAATCTAGGCCTGGCACATGCTTTCAAGTGTTAGTCCTCTGTGATAGATTCTCAGGCCAAAACAGGCACTTTTTTTTCTAATTCTTTTTTGGTTTTGTAAATCAGACAATATTTCACAAAGTGTAACATTTATGTAGCTTTTCTTCATGTAACTGTAAGTAATCATGTATTAAGTTCTGAGTTTCATTGTCAACTTAGAATTAACCTATCTGCCTAGGATTTTTCAAATAAAGTAGTTAGATGTACTGCCTTAGTGCAGAGCTTTGTTGTGAGGAGAGTAACAGCGAAGTGTTTCTTAGCTGAAGTTCACACACTGACAATTTCTAACCTGTGGCTGCAGCATATATTTTTAAACTTCAAGCTTCAATAAAGGAGGGTTTGGTTTGTTATGCTGGCAAGTGAAAATAGCTTGTTTTTCTTTAAACACATTCAGGTCTTCAAGTCACACCTCATAGACATAGCTAGTCAGTGTCTAATCTTTTATTTTTTTATTTTTTGCAGTACCCGGGATTGAATCCAATCTTTTAAAATATGGTTATAATTATAAATTCTCTAATACTGGATATGTTGGGGAAAATATATTTAAGTGCTTAATATATTTTAGCTTATTTATTATTTGTTGAGGCAAACTTTCGTTAGGTAGTTTAGGCTGGTCCTGAACTTGCAGCATTCCTCCTGCCTTAGCCTCACAAGTGGTGGGATCATAACTGCACCACCGTGCTGGCCTTAGCTATGTTTCTATCTTAGGGAAGATTTCCCAAAAGAAATGAATTAAGAATACACTGACAAATTTTGTTAAACATTACTATTTCATCTTTATCCATATAGGAAGCAATGAAGCTACAACAAGATATGAGGAAAAAGAGGCAAGAAGTATTAGAAAAACAGATTGAATGCCAAAAGGTAACTCATCATTTGCATGCCAGAATTGATGTACAAAAATATTTAAAATAGTAAAGTCTTTAAGGCTTGAGATTTACTCAGCATAGTGCTTTTTTTCCTTGGGGGGGTTGTTTTGTTTTGTAGATGCTGATATCGAAGCTAGAAAAAAACAAAAACATGAAACCAGAGGAAAGAGCAAATATAATGAAGACTTTAAAAGAGCTTGGAGAAAAAATCTCACAATTAAAAGATGAGTTAAAAACATCTTCTACAGTCTCCACACCATCCAAAGTGAAGACAAAAACAGAGGTATCTGTTAGCAGTTTTCTTTGAGTGTAGCATTATTAATATTAGGCATGTGCTGGGGACTTTGAGAGTATATACTACAGTCCTTCGATAGTTACTAGTTAATGAGATAGAATTATTCAACAGTTTTTATTCAGTGTTTCTATAGGTAGTACTGTTTTGAGAAGAGATAATAATACCATTTGAACAGAAACGTATTTTGGATTTTTGTTGTTGGTTTTTTGCTACTGAGGATTAAACCTGTGACCTTGCATATGCTAAACAGTTCTTGTACTGCTGAGTGCCACTTATAAGCCCCAAGGATATGTTTTCATTGATTTTTTTTTTTTTAAATCTTTGTGCTGAAGAGGAACCTAACTGCTAGGGTCATGAGGGAGGAATACTTTCTGTTTCAGTAGTTTTTTTCTTTTTAAATTGTTGTATGCTTGCAACAGATACATAGTAGCTACAGTTCTTTTAGATTTTTTTAAAAATGTATTTAGTACAGGGTCTACAAGGTCTAACTACAGATTGGACTCAGTGATCCTCCCATTTTAAGCCTCCCAATTGCTGGGATTACAGGCGCACAGCACCACACCCAGTCTCAGTCGTGATTCAGGAGACCTGATCCTTGGCCCCTGTGTCTACCCTGTGTCTACCTACTTTACACTGAGCTATCTGGCCAGCCCACTTTTAACTTTTAATATTTAACTTTTTGAGACAGTTGAGGTGGTGCATGCTTGTAATCCCAGTATTTGAGGGCTGAGGCAGGAGGATCACTGTGATTTCAAGGCCCATTTGATGTACAACTGAGTTCAAGGCCAGCCCAGACTACATATTGAGAGCCTGTCCCAAAAAGAGCAGCCCCCCCCCACCAAAAACAAAAAAGCAACAAAACCCCCCAATTTTTCGTGTCTTATTTCATTTAACGTCTTGGTCTTGTGCATCCATTTTTATCCATTTTCTTACAAATGACTCAGATGTCTATTATGGCTGAGTAATATTCCATTGTGTATACATGCCTTGTTTTCTTTGTCCATTTATCCACTGATGGACATCTGGTCTGTTTCCAAAGTTTAACTGTTGTGAATAGTCCTTCCAGCAGTTTTTTTCTAGTGCTACATTGTTATAATCAACTCATCTCTTTTGGTAGCCAAATACATCATTAATTTAATGAGTAAAAATGTGGCATACTGTTAAAAGAGTAATCAGAAATCCATTTAAATCTAATTTAATTTACATTTGTTTCTCTGTTGTAGGAGAGTACTTGCTTTACTCAGAGGCTCTGTTGTAGTGGAATTTTAAATAATTTCCAGCCCTTTGAGAACTGAGAATAAGTTTGTCAGCTATGTTAAAATGTAATTATTGTACACAGCATGCTACATTTGAACTTATGATTCAGTATAGTACTGTAAGGTATTTCTTTAATTCTTGATCCCACATGCCTGCCAGCCCAGTCCCTGGGGAACGCTGAGCCAGAGATGGAGTCTGGGCATGGTGGTGTACCCCTATAGTCCCAGCACTGGGGAGGCTGAAAACAGGAGGATCACTGAGTTCAAGCTGCATAGTGAGACCCTGTACCAAATACATAAGTGGGATTTAAATATATATATGTATATATATGCCATTACATTAGGATTGCTTTTCTTTTTTTTGGAGACAAGGTCTTGCTGTGTAGTTTAGGCTGACCTTGAACTCGTGGTGATGTAAGTGCTGAGGTTACAGATGTATACCATCATACATGGCTAAAATATTTATTTTTATTGAGATTTCCTCAAATTATAGGAATAACATATGCTAGCTTTTTTTTTTTTTTTTTTAAGAGCCGAGGTCTCCCTGTGTTGCTCAGGCTGGTCAAGGCACATATGGTACTGTGCCTGGCTACATGTGTTCTAAAAGTGGGAGAGTGTGTGTGGGGGGGAGGGAGATCTTTCATAGTTAAGTTACCTACAGACCAGTGAATACTTTGTCTCGTACAAAAGAGTGGTAACAGTTATAGGGCTGGCATCTGAAAGTAATTCTGTAACTATTACCTTTTTGTTGTTTTTAAGACAAGGTCTTGATGTGTAGTTTAGGTTGGCTTTAAACTAACTCATCGTGTAGCCCAGGCTGACCTCAAACAAACTCTAACCTATCCTCCTGCCTTAGGTAAACTCCCCATCCTCCAGTGTGCCTTTATGCCCAGCTGTAGCTGTTACATATATACTGTTATATAATTTAATTCCCCTTTGTATTTCATACATGACACTATTATTTTAGCTTTTTTGGTCTGTTTGGTTTTTTTCTTTTTGTTTTGAGAGACATCTCACTATATAGTACAGATTGGCCTTGAAATTGCCTATGTATCCCAGGCAGGCCTCAAACTCACAGTAACCCTCCTGCCTCAGCCACCTGAGTGCTGGGATTATAAGTGTAGCACAACACTTGCTTTTTTAATGATACTCTATTAATGTGAAGATTACTCTTAATTCCCTCATCTGAGGTGACTATTCCCAGGACCTTACTTTTAGCCCATGTTATACAGTATTGCTGCTTATTGTTTTCCAGTTATGTCTCATGTGTAAAGTTACTCTCCTTAAAGCAGTCATGTTTATTATCTCCTCTTGGTGATTTTACCAAAAGAAATATGTGTCATTATGTAATATAATATTCTGGACAAGATCTTGGAAGTTATCTAAAAAGTACCTTTTTATTCTTTTCCAAAGGCTCAGAAAGAGTTACTAGACACTGAACTGGACCTCCACAAGAGGCTATCCTCAGGAGAAGACACAACAGAGTTACGGAAAAAACTCAGTCAGTTGCAGGTTGAGGTGAGATTTACATCTCAAAAATTAGTTTTTTCTTTGTTTCCCAAGATACAGTCTACCAATTCACATTATTCTGGCCCTGTGTTGTTTTGTAGGCTGCACGATTAGGTATTTTACCTGTGGGTCGAGGCAAGACCATGTCCTGTCAAGGCCGAGGCCGAGGCCGAGGCCGCGGAGGAAGAGGGAGAGGATCTCTGAATCACATGGTGGTTGACCACCGCCCCAAAGCGCTCACTGTGCGAGAGTTCATAGAGGAGGAAAAAGATGAATTACTTCAGCATTTCTCAGTGAGTTCTAAAGCAGCAAATGCTAACTAAAAGTACTACATTCAGCATTTTCTTTGTTGTACTCTGTATCAACAGATGTCTGATAGATTAGAAAATCTAGTTGTGAAATACAGATATTAGCAAATTGTTTATATATTTGAGATCAAGGAGTAGCTCTTGCTTTGTAATTCTGTACTCTCCACTTAAATGCATTTGTAGTGACAAAACTAAATTTGATTTTTGCCTCAGGACTATTACAGGTATTTGTAGTTGATAAGTGAAAAAAAAACTGGTATAGAGGCAAAAACTTGAAGAAAGCACTTACCTTAAAATAGCGGGTATGTTTAGTTATATTCTGTATGCAATGCCTGCCACTTTTAAACAAATAGGCAAATAGAGATTTGTTATGGGCAAATGCCTTTAGTCTTTTTTTTTTTTTTTTTTTTTTTTAAGTGTATTATGTACAGGGTCACAGATTGGGCTTGGTGATCTTCTTGTTTTTCAGCCTCCCAAGTGCTGAGATTACAGGCATGTGCCACCATGTCCTGTCCCAGTTGCTGTCTCAGCACGCCCTGGGAGTGGGGCTGACATGGTATGCCGGGGATTGAACCCTGGCCCCTGCATCTGCCTAAGCAGGTGCTTTAATCCACTGAGCTATCTCGCCGGCCCTATTGTTTTGAACATATACAGACTGGTTCTCTTTGCAACTACTCATTCATTAATCATTCAGTAAATACTTACTGAGCTAGAACATTTTCATACATGCTGTTATTCAATGTTAAATAACTATGTTAATGATAGATGTGAAACTATCCGTATGTAACTTAGTGTACAGATGTGAATGGCAAAGCTTGATGTCATCAAGATCATAGAGTTAGTATAGCCCAGAACCAAAATACATAGATTCTGCATTCTCAGACAACTTTTTTGAGAGAAAATACTTCCAGTATGTTAAAGTTAAAAATGGGGAGGAGTCATAAAGAGCAAGGCTTCACCCCTGGTGTCTTTATTAGTTTTATGCATATTAATACTATTTACCCTGACTCTTAGACAGTGGAAGGTTTTTATAATGTCCAGATTTGAGTCATCTGCTGGGACCAGTTTACTTTTGTCCCAGTTCTTTATTAGTACAATACTTCTTTTCCCTTTGTTGTAAAGTTGGAGAATAGCTTTAAGTAATTTCTTGGAGGAGTAAAGAAGCTAATATATGGAATTGCTATATAAATATGGAATATTTTGAAGACTACTGTGATTTCTCTGTCTTACTGTTGAATATATAATATGACAGTCTCCTTGCTAATTAAGTTGGGCATGTAGGCTCAATATCAGCTATGGTAAAGTGATACTGGATTATGTAAAGCAGAATTTTTATGATTTGACTCTGCAGAAAGTATAAAAAAAGCAGTACTTGCCTTACATAAGAACTCCATCTTGAATATCACTGGAAACTGAGGTAGACATGTAACTTGACTCAGTCATTTTCATATGGATATCTTTCCTTGTGAACCATTTCTTTCCCTGTGAACTAACTAGACCCATGCCCGATCTGACATGGTCTTGCTATGTATTTCAGACTGGCCTTCAACTCACTGTGTGGCCCAAGTTGGCCTGGAACTCACAACAAACTTTCTGCTGTAGCCTCCCAAGTGCTGGTAGTGTGCCACCACACCTGGCACTATTCCAGACTTTCAGTAATAACTACTGTTTATGGAAATAGATTTGATCAGTCTGCGATATGAATTTCAGTAATAGACATATATATACATTTAGGGAAGAAACAAAGCTAAGGTGGATGAAGTAATTTCAAAAACAAAACAGAGCCATTACTTTGAGGTAGGGCTTATTTGGGGGAGGTGGAATAGGATGCTAGCTGATGATCTTAAGTACCAGGAACATAGATGCCTGAGTAGTAGATACTTGGGCAGTTAGTATACTTTCTTTAAATAATCTTGGGGGGCTCGTGAGATGGCTCAGTGGTCTAAAGCACCTACTTAGAACAAGCTTAGCAAAGCATAGGGACTGCGGTTCAATCCCCCAGCACCACATGCCAGCCAACCCCGCCCCCTGGTGGGCTGAGCTGGCCCCTTCCCAAATAAATAAAAAAAAATCTAAATGACTTTTAAAAAAAAAAAAAATCTTGGTATGTTATTGTATCTACCAAATGTAAAGGAAACTTTTCAAGTATCTTATATCCCATAAAGGCCAAAATAAATCTGTACTTTCAGTGTTTTTATTATCCTTAATAATTGTAGAAAGATGATAGATGAATCGTATGTATATGAAGAATGATAGGTTTTAGCGAACCGTTCTGAAGTGTAAGGAATCCTGGAGTTCTTGAAAGTTTGTTCTTGTATCTAATACTCCTATTAAGAATTTATCGAGGAAATTATGGTTGTGCACAAATGGTACCTACAAAAATTCTCATTGTCACAGTTTCAGTAGTAACAGTGGGAACCACTTAATTGTTCGACAGTACTTAGCTGCTATTAAAAACATTTTTGAACATGAATGACATGGAAAATTTTCAGGATTGACTACTAGGTAAGATACAAAATTACACATAAACAAGAAGTGAGAATAAATTGTCTGGGAATTCAAGAATTTTAAATTGTTTTCTTCTAGACACTTCTCTGTTTTCTGTATATTCCATTGAACCCACCTCTCCTTCCTGCCCTCTGTCTGCTCACTCTTGCCTCTCCTTCTCACACTTGATCCCTCCCCCACCCCTCCTTCCTCCTCTCTCCCTCCCCCTTCTCTCCCCCTCCCCCTCCCCCTCTCTCGCCCTCTCCAGCCTGTCTCTTTCTCTCTGTTTCTTTTCATTTGTTTGTTTTTGAGACAGGGTCTCACTGTGCTGTAGTGTAGGCTGACCTTGAACTTGTGGCTGTCCTTCTGTCTCAGCTTTCCTAGTGCTGGGATTGTAGCTGTGTGCCACCATGCCCAGCTTACTACTTTTTTTTGGTTTTGAAACAGGGTCTCACTATGCTGATCAGACTCATAGTAATCGTCCTGTCTCAGCCTCCCTGGTGCTGGGGTTACAGGCTTCCACCACTGTGCCTGGTTTGGGGAATGGTGCCCCTGGGGTTCTAGGGCTGGCCTGGTGTGCGGTACCAGGGATTGAACTCCAGTCCTTGCGCTTGACACACACACACACACACACACACACACACACACACACACACACAGTATGGACTGTCCCAGGCAGATCAGAGCACAGTTACTTTAATTAAGAGGGACTTCATTATTTTTAGATTGTGGATCCACTGTATTAAGTGAACACCCCACCCTTCATATCAGCATAGAATTTGAAGAAATCACTAGTAAATATGACCACAAACTTACGTGTTATTCTAAAATATATTTTAGGCTGCGAACCAAGGTTCAAAATTCAAAGACCGTCGGCTACAAATATCATGGCACAAACCCAAGGTACCATCTATATCCACTGAGACAGAAGAAGAAGAAGTCAAGGAGGAGGTAGGTGCAAGGATTGAAAATAAAAGTTGAATTAGAATCATTTCCCAGGTACATAATTTTCTTAACATTACCTAGTATAAATAGAAATATGGGAATTTCTTTCAGGCATGCAGTTAGTTAAGACTGTTTTAAAAGTCATAGTCAAACTCTTAATGCATGGGAATTAATTTTACTTTTGACTTGTATTTCTAGTTTAGTCAAGTGAATTCTTAGATTTTGCACTTTAGATTCTTTCTTTTTATGGTGCTGGGAGTCTGAGGGTGAGCTAAGCATAGCAGAACCACTGAGCTATGTTCCCCATCCCTGGTAAATGTTTTCTTAATTGTGAATTGTACATACATTTCTGGGACAAAAGAAGTATCCACATTGGTGTAGGTAGACCACACACCCCAAAGCTGGAAGGACACTCACACCACAGATAGGGCTCCCCTAGACCGGGTATTATTAAACCAACCAGATCTGTGCCAAGTGAAGAGATTAAAGCAACTTTGCCTACCGTATCTGTTTTGTCACCATTTTCCTCTTAGTAGCACTTTGTAAAGGGTCTGATCAGACTGGGTTTTGGCTGGTGTAATGTAGGGGTAAATAATTTCTTTTTTGGTAGTGAATATTTTGTCCAAGGTTTTTAGTTCGTAAGGAGTAAGGCTTGTAAAGTATTTCACATTGAATCTATAACAGTGATGGCAAGCCTTTTAGAGCTTCAGTAACAGCCTGCGGCAGCATGTGTGCCATAGGTTTGCATCCCCTCATCTATAATAAAACCAGCCTCTAGCTATTAATTAAAGGCTTCCTTACGAGTTCGATCGGTAGCGGGAGCGGAGAGCGGACCCCAGAGCAGCCCCACCGCCGCCGC